CACAATTTTGGAAAACCCAGACACTACCAACAATACAAGAATAGTTGTTAAAACTGATGGACATAGCAGAAAATGACAAACTAACTTGCTTATTAAAAGAAAACTCAAACAATTACTACCTTAAGAATGGAATTAAGAATGGAAACCATTGATGGACTATTTGCAAAATGCAGGTGGGGTGAAGCTTACATGGGGATTTGAAGATTAGATTATAAATGTAATGGGCTATATTAGACAAAGAATTATTCTTATTTAATGTATTAAAAACTAGCATTTATGATAGCCTTATTATTTTTAAGAGCAGAGATAGATGGGAAGTTATCTATTTTTCATAACTTTTTTTCTTTTACTTCACCTTTTCTTTTCCTTTTCTTTATATTTTGTATTTCAAAATTTCTTTTCTATTTCTAACTTTTAAATTTGTATCTTTAAAATTTCCAATAATATGTTATAAAAAAGGCTTTGGGCATATTTGGAAAGTCCAAGGTTGAAGAATGACTCACTCGACCACAATCCAACCGCATATGGTAGTTGTCACTCCCAAAAGGGTTGAATTAAAAGATTACACCACAAACCTTTAGATTTCATTTAACTGATACTGCCTGGAACAGAGGTGGGCAGATCTAGTAGAACAGTGTTGTCCAAACTTGGCCACTTTAAGATGAGTGGACTTCTGGCTGGCTGGGGAATTCTGGGAGTTGAAGTCCACTCATCTTAAAGTGGCCAAGTTTGGACAACACTGTAGTAGAAGATATACCACAATTAGTTGAGCTCATGTAGGCCCTGCTCCCTTTTACAATTTTGCAGTAGCATAACAATCCCAACCCCACCAAGAGTTTCCCTTTCTCCTACACCATTGGCTTCATCTTCTGCTGACTGCAAATTAAAAAATGTGATCACGACACAACCCATGTCACTTTTCTGTCACTGCACAAAACCCATCTGGTATATTATCAGGGAGCCCTTGCCTTTAGACATAGCAGTCCTGGTCTTTCTTAGGACAGCTTCTTGAAAAGAGTGAGAAGTTGAACTGAGGTTTTTTCTGATTATTTACTCATTTCCTTGCATTTGTCAGTTTCAATCACCTCCTTACCCAAGGCCTAGTAGATGCTTAGTCAGTTTCAGTTCTCCAGCTTTACACAAATTTTCACAGGAAAGATTATTAATTAAGGCCTAACGCTCACCCAGAAGGTTCCATGCAAAACCCATCGTATTGAGCAGTGTGTCCTTGCACATACACATTTCTTTCCAAACTTCCAAATCTGTTTGATGTGACTCTTTGGAATACTTAAGGGATGATAGCTTGGCTGATTCTTCTAGCAAGTTTTTAAACAAGCAAACTGCCAATGTCTCTTTTAGTGCTGTATTTCATGACACAGTTTCTACAGCCTGGTGAGCACAGGGTGTGGCATAGTTGTAGAAAATCTCTCCAGGGCTATCAGAGGTAGAGAAATTATCTTAAGGAACTGCAAGTTCCTGTGCACGGGCCCTACATGGCAATGGGTTTTATTCCATAAGTGAGAAAAAGAAAGGCCTAAAAGGACAAGTGAAATAATTTAGTATTAATTTATTAATTAATAAATTGTGAGCCTCTATGTGGTTGGTTGGAAGTATGTCTGAATTTGGTGGGCTTACTCTGGGGATAGGTTTGCATGGAATTAGGGAAATAGGGGCAAGAACCTCACCCTGGAATAAAGTCCTCTTGATGTTGGGACTAAGTACTCAGTTCAAAGTGCTTTTAAAAGTGTTTGTGGTTGTTCAGTTGCTTCCCACTCTTTGTGGTTAAAGGTATCTATGAATCAAGTGGTGGAGTGGTTAATGATTTGGGCCTGCAGTTCATAAAAACATGGGCTAAAGTGACAGGGAAATCAGAAAAGCTCCGTTTGGCCGTCTTCAGTTCTACTTCCTCTTGGTTTTCCTAACCGAGATACTGAGTGTAGGGAAACAGAGAAGTTTTCAAAGCAAATAGCCAAAGTAACATGCAAGCTAAGTCACTGGCTCTTGTTGGCTTAAACCTGGGCAGAATGAATGAAACTAAAATCATTCAACCCCTTCATGGATCACTGCCTTGTTGTGTAACTCAGTGAAGCCGTGAGCTATACCGTGCAGGGCCACCCAAGACGGACAGGTCACGACAGAGAGTTCGGACAAAATGTGGTCCACTGGAGAAGGAAATGGCAACCCACTCCAGGATCCTTGCCAAGAAAACCCCGTGGACAATGCCAAAAGGCTAAAAGATAGGACGCGGGAAGATGAGCCCCTCAGGTCGGAAGGTGTCCAATATGCTCCTGGGGAAGAGCGGAGGGCATTTCCAAG